GAGACATAATCAACATAGCATGATTATTCTTATATATTAACTGCTTATAGATATAACTCTGACATACAAGCTTACTTATACTCATGAGATTCACTTCTAACTTTGAGACATAGCAGACATTATTTAACAGCATATCTATCTCTTTCACTGAAATCTTTATATCTTCTATAGCTGCAGCAGAGATTACTGTTTCATCTGTCATTTTCAACATCACTTTCACCTTCTGAGGTTTTGTCATGACAAGATCTCTGTGGGGTGTGACATGAGCGCCTGATTCAGAGTCTAGAATTCAGATATCTTTTCCTGTCTAGTCACTTATATAGGCCTTTTCTTTGATGCAAAATACTTGTTTTATAATATTGTAAACAGAAGCAGTATCTGTATTCTCTGCATTCTTGTCTTTATTCTTGTTTCTATTTGTATTAAAGTTTGAAGAATGTTTCTCAGAGTATTTCTTTCAACAGTCAGTCTAAATATGATCAATCTTTTGATAATGATAGCAGATTCTCACATCATTATCTCTATATTCAGGTTTGAATTCAGTGTTCTTATTCTTATTATTGTCTTTGTTCTTGTCTTTCTTATCCTTGTCTTAAGTGTTATTCGCGGGATTTTTCATGAATTCAGTACTACTATTTTCCGCAGTAGAAAGATGTAGAAGTATGTCACAGTATAATCTTATAAAGTCTTCTTCTAAAGATCTTGAATTGTTCTTATTGTCATTGATCTGGTTCATTCTATTCTTTATAAAGAATGCTCAATCTCTATTAACTTCTATCAGTAATCTATTGAAAAACATGACATCTTCAATCTTATATTTCAGATAAATATAATCAGTTCTGATGACAATTAATTATTCAATAAAAGCTCTGTCAGATTCTTTGCTTTTAAAGATTATTTTAATAAGCTCTTCAAATAAATGAGTTCTATATACAGTAGATCTCTTGAAAAAGTTATTCTCTATAATAGTTCATAGAGTATAAGCTAATAATTTGAACTTCTTAAGTATAGTAAAATAAGTCTTGATCTGCAGAGTAATTGCAGATCACATATAATTATATAATCAAAGATTGTGTTCTTTTCAGAAATATTGCATGTTTATAATGACATTCTTATCAAGATCATTATCTTTAAGAATATCATCAGTTTCAGACTATTCTACAGTCAAAAGAATTTTCTCTCTTCATATTAAGTAGTTAATAAATTCAGTGAGAACTATTAATCTTTTGATAAGTCTTACTTAGCTTCTGAATTCTTCAAGAACTTTTATTATAATAGATATCTTCTCTTTCTATTGAAGATATTGTGTCAGATCTGCTCTTATCTCATCATCTGCAGAGTCATCTCTACTGATCTTTATCTGCTTAATCTCATGCTGAAGTCTTGCAATTTCAAGTCTTATATAAGTCTTCTCACTCACTGAGTTATTATCATTTCAGTCACTTGAACTCTCTGCATTATCTGACATCTCACTGATATCTTTAACTGAGTCTTTGTATACATTGAACTTATCAGACTGTTCTTCTGTGATGATTTTATTCAGCTCAAATATCTCTGAAGCAGTCACTTTTCAGTTCATTGCAGATGTTGATAAGCTTACACTCAATTCTTCTTATACTTCAGATATTTGTGAATTTCTTCTTCTATATATTAGCATGTAATTCTTTGTTAAGTCAGGCTTTTCACCTGATCTCAGGTTCATCATAAGTTCAATTAATTAATAAATCATCTAGACACACTTGTAATGATGTGTGAAGATGTCAATTTAGCACATTATTATGATTATTTATTGCTTATAAAGAGCTTCATAATCTCTTGAAGAATAACATTGTTGTGTTATAATCTAACTACGCGAGTTACACTAAATAAATAGATTGATATGGCATGTGACTAGAGTAGATGTAGTAATCATCAACAAAATACTTACTTTATTATTAAATTCAAGAAAATCTTTGTTAGAGCAGATATCAATCAAATTCAATTTGATAAAAATAAAACTGAGTTAATTCATTTCTTTTCTAGATTCAATGAGAAAGAACTATCTCTAACTCTTTTAAATAGAGAGATTAAACCCAGTGTAAATATCAAATGATTAGAAGTATGGTTAAACTCCAAGTTGAATTTTAAATATCACATTCAATAAAGAACTGTCAAGGTAGAAAGACTATTGAACAACATAATCAGACTATCAAATATAGAGAGAGGTCTATTCTTCCAGGCTATGAGATAGTTATATATAGCCTGTATTACATCAGTAGCTGATTATGAAGTTTAAGTTTGATAAAATAATCAAGAGAATTTCACTGAACTCTTTCAAAGTCTGTAAAACAGAGTCTTGAGAAGAATTCTGAAAGCATTCAAATCATCTTCTATTAAAGCAATGAAAATTGAAGCTACAATTTCTTCTTCTGCTATTAGATTTGAAAAGACCTGTATGAACTATGCTCTGAGAGTTGTAAAGATGAGCTTAAATTATATAATCAGAGAAAGAGTCTCTTCTTCATTTTCATTAATTAACTCTGAAAATGAACTGGATTGAAATAGATTTCTTGATTGAAATGAAAATAATTCTTCAAAGAAAATGTCTTCTCAACTGTACAGACTATGCTCTCTGATTAAAAATTAATTTTCTTCTTTAAATATTGAAAAAGTTGATCATGAGAAGTTATCTCTCTGAAGAGAAAAGCTTCAATCTCTTATAAACTTACAAATAAGTGAACTATTAAAAGAGAAAGAATATGAACAGTATTTGAAGAGAATCTCTACAATAAATATAAAAGACTCTATTCTGATTTATTCAGATGACTCAAAAAATGAGAATTTGAATAGATTAGACACAGACATTGCTTATACTGAAGATAATATTAATTTTATCTCAGATTTCTGAAATCTAGACTGTGAATCTGAAGTCTTTGATACTAAACTATTTATAATAGTGAAAGCTTTCAAACTCATTGAAATAAAATCTTATAAAAGAGGAAATTGTTTGAAAGAGATATGAATATTCTCTGATAGTCAAGCTGCTTTAAAAAGACTTAGAAATAGTCAGATTTATAATAATCAAATGAATCTTGAACTGATCTTAAACTCTGTTTTGAAAATTCAAAAGAGAAGAATATCAAAGCTGATAATTCATCTGCACTGAGTTCCTACTTATATAAATATTCATGATAATGAATTGGCTGATTCAGCTGTAAAAAAGAGTGCAGAATTAAGCAGATCTATTTAAAAAATTATGTTCTGATCTTTTATAAAGAGAAAAATAAAAGAATCTTGTTTAGATAAGTGAAATGAAAGCTGATAGAAATAAAAGAAGAGTATATATTATTCAAGATTTGAAATAAAACCCAAGTGAAAATCTTGTTCAATTAAATATAAAAAGAAAATATTCTCATCTATAATACAGCTGAAACTAGAACATGACTATTTTAAACCTTATATACAAAGATTTGATAATAGATTTAACTCAATAGAATGCTTATTCTGCAATACAAATAAGAATTCTGAGTATATTATAATACACTATGCATTATACAATAGTCTTAGAGTCAGATTGAAAGAGAAGTATAATCTAAATTAATTAAATATAAGATTCTTATTCTCAACTGAGACAGGAATTAAATACTTAATAGACTTTCTATCAGAAACTCAAGCAGCTATAAGAAAATGACTAAATTCAGAATTATCTGAATATGAAGAGAAGAAAATCAATCAGATATAATCTGTTAAAACAGCTATATACTATCTTTTAATAATTTGTTTTATTACAGTCTTTCTTTACTTTATCTTTTTCTTTTAATTTCTTTCTATCTATCTATTTAATATGTCTATCTTTAAGACTGTGTTCTCTTTTCCTTTGTCATGATATTGTTAAATGATTTCAAAGTATCAGAAGATGTTAAAATACTGTAATTTGTAAACAGTTTTTATATTCTGAGCTGGAATTTTCTGATTTTGTATATCTGAAATTGATGAATGTATAATAGTTAACTTTACAGATATAGAAAAAACCCTGAGAACTAAAAGTTCTCAGATAGATGTCATAGTCTCTGACTGTATACATCTATAATTGAAGAATAATAATAATAATAATAATTAAATTCAAGAATAATTTCAGTATTAAATTAATTTTAAATTGATTTTAAATTGATTTTGAATTAATTCTGAATTAATTGTTAATTAATTATAGTAATAAAAATAAATTCAATCTGTATATTTAAGTAATTAATAATTGATTGAAAATCAGTTGATAATTAATGATAAATAATTGAGTGGTTTCAAATTACAAGAAAAGATGTATTGAGCGAGGTCAGATAGTGGCACGGGCCACATTTGCAAGGTCAGCTTACATAACGAGGTCAAGTGGCGCACTTAGCGAGGTCAAGTTTTCTGCTTCCTGTTAGGGGCCTCCCGTTCGGGAAACGGCCCCCTCACGACCGGGGGTCGGCCGTTCCACATCGGGTTTAGCGCAACCCTCGCGGCTTGAACGCTGCCTCAGCGCACTATAAATACGGCCGTTTCCACCCTCTGTTCGACGTTGTAATCGCTCTCTCTCCATTTCCAGTCTTTCCCTTCTTACCCATCTGGTCTCACGCCCAACTCTACGGTGCCCCCGCCTCTCAAAAGCAAGTCGGAGTTAGTTACCCTGCATCCTCCTGAGTTCGCCTGATGCTCACCCCCTGCTCACGCTCTTCTAACCCGCCGCGAGCTGCTGCTCATCAGGGCCTCACCCTCTGCTCGACGTCGGCCTGATTCACTACATTGGCTCCCTTACCTAACCTTGTTGGTTTTCTACACTACGCTCTGCCTTCGTCTTGCTCATGAATCCTGACTTGCTATTCGCAGCAGCACCTCTTTTGCTCGCCTTGCGGCGAACGTGTCGCACCAGTAATCCAGGTCACCTTTGCGGAAGAGCCTAGTCGCTCTCGGATCGAGCGATGCGCTGCGCGACGTTGCCAGCTATGACTGGATGTCCGTCGCCAGCCATGGCGCTGCAGGTCTCAGACGCTACCGGCTGAACCCCCTTGGGCTGAGGGCCCCAATTCCTCCCGTTCCAGTGCGGCGCAGCCCCGATGATGACGCGGCCGGACTGGATTATGCGTGGAATTGTCACTTTCCATCACGCCAGAGTGCGACCACACGACGCGAGGCTCCCCCTGGTTCGCAGCAACCCCACCAGTGACTTCTCCCGACCCTCCGCGGAGGTGCATCGCTCGGCACAGGGAACCCAGCTCAAGGGTCAAACTTTCACGGTTATTGGCCTCCCATCGAACGATAGTCCGCGAGTGGTGGTGTGATGGTGTGTTGGTGTGATTCCGCCGGGACTGGATATCAGCAGTTGGACACGGATTTTTGGGTCAATGCTTCAACTTCATCCGTTTACGAGGGTTGCTAGCACGGCGCCGGTGACAAGATTGGCTCGGCGGCGAGGCAGATTCTTTCCGGTGGGATATCTCAGCTCACCAGGGATACCATGAAGGTTGCATTCATGTTCCACTGGGACATTTTCCGAGGCTGGTTTCCCCCCAACAATAGCGCGATTTACTGTTTGTTGGCGAGTGGCGTCCCTTAATGCGCCGGATGCGGTTACATACTCAGCGACAAAATTTGACGGTGATCACAGACGCGGGGTTGTGAGGGGGGAAATGATCGTATAAAAAGCCTGTGGTGCGAGGTCTAAAAAGCCCAAATGTTTCCTGCTTCAGCTTGTGTCGGCCCTGTCACGCTTGTTCAAATCCTATTCTTCTTGCTCAAACATGGACAAAATCAAGTTCTACCAGCCCGGATCCCGGCGGTACAGCCGTTCGTCATATACACGTGAAGTCAACCCCGTTTCCAAGTCAGTTCTCCCTGGGCCATGCCAGCAGCGCGAGCGAGATCACTTGCAAGTGCAAAGCGCCGCCCCAATCGCCCGCACATATCAACAAAAGGATTCTCTTGTGAAACCTCCAAGCATGCAAACCCCCGAAATTTCCGCGAACGACCCACGATTCTTTACTCTGGAAGAGGGGGCGACGTGGAACGTGGACCACAGAAATACAGCCCATGATGATGACCCTCTTTGCAGTCTTTTTTACGACAACAACGACGAGCCCGGTACTGATATGCGAGCTATAACCACCCCAGTTACTCAGCAGAACCGTGAAACGCCCAGCGATGAGGCTTTGGTTGCAGAACAGAGCCCTGGTTACGAGATACCAGAAACTCAGGCTCCCCGCACAATAGACAGCCAAGGTAGGTGGTTGTTGTCGCCATCGGCGTGTTTTCCGGGATTCTCACAAACATACCAGACGAATCCCTCGCTGTTGATGTTGACAACACTTCGCACCTGAGTCTTGACAATATAATCCCGGCTGTGTCGCGACCCGCGTCACCTGCGCAGCATTCAACTCAAGACCTGGACGCAGGTGGCATGACCGAACGCGAAGGCAGGTCCGATGGAGAAAGTTGTGATCTCCCGCACCTCCGCACATATGAAGCGTCCGGCGAAGCCGACAAGGGACCGGACACACTGATCTTCAGGGCTGGCGACAGTAAGGGTAGGCTCCCCAAAAACCCCAGTACGTTTCCCGGATTCTCACAGTTCATAGATACGCCTATCACCATCCAAGATGATGATGATATGACATCAAACACTTCCCAATCGCTGCCTCTGGTGGAACGTTCTCGAAGTGACCTCACATCCTACCGGGAGCCTGGAACCGCCCATCCAACGGCTGCCCAGATCAAACTTGAGGGCGCAGCCGATGGCGGTTCGGTAACTCAAAACGCGGCTACCCGTAAGCGCATATTTTGTCCCCTACTATCATCTACCGAACCCATTGAGGAGATAGACCTTACCGGGCCTGTCGACACCACGCTACCACCCGCGAAGAGGCAACGGCCGCTCTTTGATGCACAGTCTCAGCCAGCCACTATTACGGGCGGCCCGTCCCGCCCCCAAACGCCAGATCAGAGTTCCTACCAAGCAGAGGCTCCCTCCGCTACATTTGTTGGTGCCGGTCCCCGTGAAATGAGCCTGTCGGGAGACAGCCGCGATAAAACCCATCCGTCAACCCGTACTCCACCACCACCACCGACCATGGTCAAGAGAAACGGAGCAATGGTACCAGAATGGTCTGTTGCTGCCATCTCAAACTCGAGGATCACAACAGATCAAGAAGGCAAGCCACGTTTGGAGTACAAAGTGGTATGGGAGGGTTACTCCGATCCCTCATGGGAACCAAAGGAGAATGTGGTCCCCGGATGCGAAGACTTGATCAATGACTTTCATGTCCGCCAGCCCAAGCGACCAGGCATAACCACACTGGTCGGATATATGCGGTTTGGAAATAGAAAGCCAGTCATTCGAGGCAAGCAAACAGCTCTCAAGGGCCAAACTGAAAAAGGGCTCAAGGAGACAAGTCCGAGCTTGATTTAGAAGTTTAGTATAGCCAATTTCGGAATTACAATCCAATTTTATTCAGTTTAAACCTGGTACAAATATCCTTCCTATTATGAAAAACTCATGTCAAGTAATCAAAAAGGCTTTGGCATTAACAGAGATTCAGGCTGCACTGTTTCCTGCTGTCAAGGTCGAAGAGATCAAGAACGATGTGCTTTGCAAGGCCTTGGGCTGCGAGGAAGACTGCCAGAGTCGCGGCCGAAGCAGATCAAGCGGCGCGGCAGGGCTCTAAGTCTGGATAGTTCAGAAATTTGATGGTACCTTTCATAAAACTTATTCAGAGTGTTTCTAAAGAAGATTTCGTCAGTATTGTCACCATTTTAGAATACCAGTCCGCGCGAGCAGTATATATTGTAAAAAGTCCCAGATCCTAAAAATAATAGCTCAGCGAAATAACCAAGAAACGAGCCTCAGAGCATTAGGGTGTTGTACATAATGAAATAGGGAAACAGCTTCGTAAAGGAGAATAATCGGTAGGATATGACAACAGGCATGCACGCGAACAGTGAACCGGGTATTATCCATCTCAGATATACGTGTAGAGGATGCCTATTTCCCAACTGAAATTCATGAAAGCGAGCAGCCGGCTCTGGTGCGTTCTATTTTTGCTCACGCACGCGTCTGCTCTGATCCTCTCTGCGATGATGACGTCGATCTGAACGGCGTGCCATCAAACAACAGAGGGATGCTCGTCGGGGGGGTGGTTCGAGAGATAGTGGTGATAAGGTTGAAGACAGCGTTCCAATTTGTACGACCCAGTGTACCAATCATTCAGCATATTGTCCATTGCCTTGTCGTCGCTCTTTTGACATTCTCCAGCCATGACACCTCGATGGCCATAAATTCCATGGCGCCGGTCTGGTGTCGCGCCCCGCTCCGCGTACCGATTTCTTTTGGCGAGATCCAGGTCGATCAGCGTGCCTGAATGATGTTGCCTTCCATATAAAGGGACCAATGCGCCTTGATCACGTCAGGTTGAATTCGAGCGAGTCAGCCAAAGGATATTTTGTGATGATAGAGAGTTCATCTTGCGATAATTTTGCCATACCTGCGACGCGAGCTGCCACAGAATATTGAGAGAGTTGCTTGAAGAGGCAGCCCTGGCAAACCAGAAGCCTTCGGAGATGTGCCAAGACCGTAAGCCCAGGAAGGGAGAATTGAAGGGGGGCGCGGGTACGGGGGAGGAATTACTTAATCCCGAGATGGTGCCAAGTGATATCCTTCTGGCTCATCCTCCATTACCGTGCTTCAAAGGCTCACGACCCTAACAGCTAATGTTTTACAGATATACTTTCTAGGCTACAACAGATACTTGACAAATTAGTGACTGTGTGATATCAGATTGACTATAATCCGACATGTAGGGCCAAGCTGGGACACTCTGTCAAGGCAATATAAAGGCAATTATCTTGGAACCCCGAATATTGTTAATGCTTCTCTAGCCTGAAACATATAAGGTCTCTCTTCATTCATGTTCAAAAAGGCAATTTCAGCTACTTAAGCAACAATAGAATCGCTACCGGGAATTCCTATCACCCATGAAGTGGTTTCCAGAACACGATTTTAGATATCCAGTAGCTGTAGTGAACAGCCCCTGATTGACTTTGCATTCTTGAATCATTTCTCAGGAAATAATCTTCAGTTTCTTGCAGACAAATTCCCACCACAGCTTGTCATGATTTGGGATCTCCTTAGTGACCACTTGATTTTGAATTCATTGGAGTGACAAGGGCAGTGTTTTCAGAGATATCTTTTGGAACAGAGGTACAGTTTCTACCACATTCTCTCAGTCATCATCAATGATGAAGGAATCAACAGTGAAATAAGAAGCATTGCTATGGCATGTTTGCTTCAATGTTTCCACTTTATGCAGCAGCCCCTGTCTGAGATGCATGGGTTTTTCTTGACCCTCAGAATTGTTTCTCAGAGGGCTTGTGTTGAAGGTTTTTACCTGCTAAACAGTGCTTGACTCAGTTCTTTTTCTTCAAGACTGTTGAATTCTCTGTTCACTCTCTATTGATTGCTCCTGCTTCCTAGCCTGTGATTCTCTGTAAATTGCAGTGTTTAGCAGGCCTGAGCAAGGCTTAGTATATGCTATATATATCTAAGCAGTCAAGAGAAGGGCAGAGAAAAGGGAAGATGGCTTACATCAATTCTCAGCTTCAAAGTATGGTCTCTTGGCATGTATTATACTGCCATTCAAATGTGTGATATGCCCTGTTTTCTTCAGGAGACTACGGCCATGGTTCGCAGGTACAGGTGTGCTGGCTTCTTGAATTGGTGTGTTGAGGGTGCGGAGGGCAACGGACTGAGAGGGGCTCATGTCTTTCAGGGTTAGGAGTGTCTCATCGCCACCGACAGGTGGGCTTCCCGGGGAGTTCACAGATTGAACCACAGAAAATTCGCGAGTATGTATTACACGAAGACAGTGACTAGAGCCTGTGCATTCGGCCAAAGCTGACACAAATCCTCCGGCAGGCTGAGTTGATTGCTGCCCACATGCTCTGCACGCATGATAGAGACTTTTGTTTGAGGACTGACAGCTGCTGTAGAGATCGCTCTGCAAAGGTGCAGTGTGGCGAGGCATGGGCCTGTGGTCTTTCTTCAAGCCAGAATGCGGACCAGATGGACTGACGCTTCGCAGCCGCTTTACAATCGTCTAGCGATGGGGTATGCTGCACAGGCTCCGAACACTGATATGCGTTCACACCTTCGGCTGGCCTGGAGATAGTGTGTTGGTGAGGGCTAGGATTTCCAATCATTGCAAAGGGCAAGCGGAGTGATCCGACCGGGAAGAGGAGCGAGTTGCAAAACAGAAGACTTGCGATCCATTGCTCGGTAAGAAGGGGGCATGTGTTCCTGATATATCCTCACTCGTCCCTTCATTGCAACTTTCTAAAAATTCGTATGTCATGAAAGCATCGCCAGAGAAGACTATATTTTCGACTTTATCAATCAGGATGTGAGTGTGGAAATTTGGTTTGGTGCCCTTTTTGCCTAGATCTCTGTCCTGTCCTCTCCTGTCTTGTCCTGTTCCTCTGCTGACGAGATGATAGACTCTACCACCTTTTTTGACGGTAATTTTAAACCTCGCCTTGAAGATCAGATTTTGGACATACAGAATCCACTACCTGATACCCAGCAAAATCAAATAAATTCTTGGCTAGGAGTGTTTGCAGAAACCGACGAATTGCTGAAGCAGAGATCAAGATCTCAAGGAAGCGTCAGACGTCGTGCACGTTATTTTTCGAGAAAAGTTCATGCTATAAACCCAGAACTATTTGTGCTCTGTTCTCTGTCATTTCCCTTTTCCCGCCTGCCTAAAATTCCGACTGGAACATTCTACGACGACCTTTCTCACTGGTGGGCATCGAAAGCTCCTATCAAATCACTTCCCGAGGTTACCCGCACCGTTTGCCAGAATCTACCACCACCGAATGGAGACAGTCAAGGCTCCCTGGTTCTCTCCCCGCTGAGCAGACCAAGGAGACGCCTCCAATTTGGCCTTCCAGAAGATGTGCCTTCGGCAGGTAGGGGAAATGATGATATTCATACTATGCTGTACATGTCATTTCAATCTAATAATTCCACTGTCAAGGGCATTATCGCAACTCAATGATGGCCATATATCCTAGCCGGCGGCAAGATTCAAAACAAACTAGAGAGCACGAACATGAGCTTGTGGATAAAACGAATGATAACCCTGATGAACCCGGCGAACCGTTGTCAAAGCGTCCGCGGTTAGAACCTCAGGTTCCAGGTAAGTTAAGAAGTGCATTACAAGATGCGATGCCGAAACTCATCCAGTCAGGGGTTCCGATGTTATTTGGTGATGGTCCGTATCTATCCTTCGCTTTTATGAGACGCCATATGATCGAGAAACTTCCTGAACCGTTTCAGGCCGGAATGAAGACGAGCAAGTTGTGGAAAGAGGAGCAGCAGAGGGGGGGCTTATCAGTCACGAACTGCTTGTCCCTGTATCTGCCGGAGAAGATTAATGAAGATGCTCTTTTGGTTGTTAGGATGGGGTATTTCGATGGATTCAGCGTCTCCGATACCTTAGGACTCGGGGATCCTCAAGATTCGGCTGAGCTGGAGATAGAAGACGTGCTGGGGGGAGCTATTGAATAAAGATGACATACCTTTAGCAGCTATCAACCTTTTTTTCAAACTTCACTTGTGCCCTCATCACGTAACATCGATAACCGGCCTCCACCTCTCTTGTTGTTTGCCCATCTTCAGGGCCTAGTTTGCCTTTGGGGATAGGATTGCCTTCACTGTCGGCAATATTGCACGAGCGGCCTTCAAAGGTCATGATCATGGCCTCCTTTATCTCGAAGCACTTGTTTGATATCTTCTCCATTTGGCCGTTAAGCGCCTTTTCGCCAGTATCAGACATCGTCTTTTGGTAGCGCGAACGGCTGAGGAACTGTTTTTTGTCAGCGAAGGTTGAAGAAGGTAGGAGTTGTCTAAATCAATTTGCCTAACCTCGCAAAGCTCGAACTGTGTGAAGGGTTAGCCTCTGCGCGTTCGTGGACGCAAGCAGCGCCCAAAAGATAAATCTCACATGAAGAATCAAGGTAATTTGAGGTAATTTGACTTGCGTCGTTTTGATCTTGTATTTCGCAGTAAGTGCAGCCTCTCAAACGTACCGCTTGGGTTTGTGACGTCGTCTAGTGGAAGGCTGGAGAAAGTGTTGGTTGCCCAACACAACCCCTCACCCAGAACTTTTCTCCCACCCCACTCAGCCCGTGGGAAAACCAACCAACAACAATCTATTTTATTATTTTGGGCATCCAATATATGAGGGATCAGGTGCCCCTAAAACTTTTCATTATCGCATGATGGTCCGTCATCTTTTGCTGATGAGCAGCTGACACCGCGGGGCCACTAGAAAACAAAAATTCGGCAATTCCTGAAGCAACCAAGTCGGGCTTGGCCTTACAGCGACAAAGAAGTCCGTTCGCAAGCCGAGGTGTCGCCGCAACCCGTTGTCCGCAATCCAGAATCGTTATGGCTACCAGTCATCTGCAATACTCCGTCGACCAGGAGATCGCTCACTTCTTTGCGAAGACTTCAGCGAGCCGCTCGGCCTGTGATACCTATGTGAAGGAGCACCTTGGAGGCGATATCATTCCAGTAGCTGTGCAAGGCGTCTGCAGTTACACCGTCTATGCTGGGCCCAAGGGCGAATTCGTCGCTCAGTTTCGTCTCAAGTCCCTTCAGCTGAGAATGGAGATCGTGAATCTCGCTCAAACCATATATGGCCACTTTGTACCTCAGGTTTCCTTCAGGGGGCAGGTTGGAGAAAGTGCCGACGGAAAGGAGCCTCTCTACATCTACGTCATGAGCCGGATACGTGCGATTAGCTACCTGGATTTTCTCCTGGCACAGAACACTCGTGTGCCTGAAAACTCGCTCAAGTTCTCTTCGTGGCGAAAGAATCTTGTAACTGACATAGCAAAGTATGCCTGGTGCTCCAAGTTACATTATATTAAGTTGCTGATGATATATACTGTTAGATTCTTTGCTCGCTCGTGGAACGCTCCGCAGGATGTCGAACAAAAGTACCGCGACTGCCTTAGCCATCAATATGAGACGGAACTGCAATTACTATTTGCCTCTCTCCCTAGCCGCTTCCACCCATTCATCCAGGAGACTCTCAACTTGTTACCAGCCATTCTTTCTCTCCCCATGGTGCTCCTCCATAAAGACTTTGGCGTCAGCAATATATTAGTAGACGAAACGACTTGCAATCTAGTTGGGGTAGTTGATTGGGCCGAGGCTGAGGTTGCGCCATTTGGCCTCGACCTTCACTCTCACGAGCTACTGATAAGCAAGGTCCACCTCAAGAGTGGGCTTATCAGATACGACGACTACGGCACTTTAGAGGAGCTGTTCTGGAGTACATTCAAACAGGAGGCTGGAGGATTAAGTAACGAAAGTATCAGAATCATAAAGTTGGCAAGACGCATGGGCCTGCTGCTCTCATACGGCTTTACGGGTCGTTTTGCAAATATGCCGAAGCCAGTACCTATCCAGGACGATGAAAATGGGGCGTATAACATGCGCCTTCTAGATGGATTGTTGATTAACCCCACAAGATTTATGGAACTGCGTGACTAAACTGGATTTACTGGATCAAAGATGCGCTTTAAAAAATGACATATGAGGTTCAAATGATTGACAAAATGTAGCTACACTAACATGGGGCACCCAATGTGACGGTAGATCAAAGAACCCCGGCCCCAACGAGAGCGGCCTTCAGCTCTTCGACATTTTCCAGCTTGGGGAGGGGCTTTCCAGCATTGAAAACCTTGTGGTTGCCTGAGTTCATTTTTGCGTGAGTTTCATTCGCCGAGCAAACACGGGGTTTGCCATTGACAGACTCGAATCTCCAACCCGTGACGCGCGTTGGTACAGTGTTCTTGACAATAGACGAATCCAGCATGACAGTTCCTTGATCGAGAATGAGTTCCAACATGGAGCTATCAACGCACCCAAGAACTTGAAGGCCGACGAGGTTCGCGAGATTATTCTTGACAATATATTCGATAAACTCGTCTAGGAAACCCAGCTCAACGTCAGACAGGTCAGGGAGGGGCCCATCCTGTAGTTCATAAGCACATAGGCCTTCTTTGGTGAGAGCGAAGATGTGTCCATGAACAGAGGCAAGGTCGATCTTATCAATACTGGTGGCGTTAGTCCAGCGAAGGGAGGGATTCTCGAAGTTGATTCCGAGCATGACGGTGTTCTTGGGTATCTTGAAATGGCCGTGGATTAAGTGAACTCCGAAGGCCTTGTCGGCATTGTGGCGGACAAAAATATCCGCTAAGTTCATGATATTGTGTATCAGCGAGGGGCGGTTGGTCGCAGTCATCAAGAAGCTCATTGTACCTGCATGGCATCAGCTACTTGCAAACCATCTATAGGACAGGCTTCATACAAGGAACCACTCTTGTGGAGATCCTGGATCCCCAAAGACTTATCAAGGCTAGGAAGAGTGGTCGCAACGAGAGGTGCCATTTTGTGAGAGCTTGAGTGCTGTTGTGCTTTCGGTGGAGACTGAAAGATCCAGTGGGCCTGGAGGCTGATAGATAAGGAACAGCGGATTCTCGTCTGTATTTAAACGCCCTTCGCCGGAAAAAGTGTCCCTTACCTCTCACCCAATGGTGTTTCACAGGCGAGGTCTGTGTGGAACTCACACATGCCCAGGTTAAGATGGCCTGAGCGCCCATCAGACGCAACAGAGGGAGTGATGTGCTTGTTTCAAGTGGGCAAGGACTGACCTTTCAGAGCACTGGTGGGTACCGGGCCGTCCCGGCCCACTTCCGGATATGGAGAAGCGGTCGAAAAGTCGGTGGATTATTAACCAACCCTGTGGATTGTGTAGGATAGTTGAAGGTCGTATTGATAGATCTATCTACAGGAACATAATATAGTGGTGGGTCACGTGATCTAGTGGGATCGCTAACCGCAACGGCTGTAAGGGCCAACACCCCCCCTCGAGATAACAAGAATCACATACAAAAACACCCAAACCACCAAGATAGTCTGTCAAAACCAAATACAAATGTAAAATTAAACATTCCCAACTTTTATGCCTGTAAGACCTAGCAAAACCATGAATCATGCAAATGTCACATTGTCTAGAGGTTTAGTGAGTTCATCCACTGCCATCTGAGTGATGAGAATGTATTCTAAATCAATGATTCTCTGATTCAACTGTCAACATGAAAAATGAAAACATGTGTCAATGTGTTTGCTTCAGGCTGTAATGACTGTCATCTTTGTGAGATCTATGACACTCTTATTATCAGTGAGAATCTGTATCAGAGATGTAGTGATGAAGTCAAGCTCAATTATGAGATTCTGAATTCATGTTGCCTCATGAATCACCTTACTAAGAGTCATATATTCAGTCTCATTGAAACTTAGAGATATACAAGGTTGCTTCACTGAACATTATGAAATCAGGCTGTCTGCAAGCTTAAAAACATAGTCAGATATTGATTTTCTATCATCATTTAAGAGGTCAGCTCAATCAGAATCTGAGTAGCTGAAGAATAGATAGAAATCATCAGAGAAATCAGAAATAATGAAAGAATCAGTAGAAACAGAACTCTCATACAGACTGTATTCATAGAAAATACTCAGATTCATGATCTCTTTCAAATAACATATAACATGTAATAGAGCCTTTCAATATTGAGATGTTGAATCAACATTCTGTTGAGTAAGTAGCAAGACAGTATAAGTAATATCAGAACATATTTTAACTGCAAGATATTGCAAGCAATTCATATCATATTAATATTGCTGAATTGTGAAATCAGTCTCTTTCTCAGATATAGAGAAATTATCAATACAGAATTCATTCTTCATTGATATTCTGACAACAGCTGCATTATTAAGATAGAAATCTTTAACAAGACATTTGATATATTGATAATGTATTAAATTAATTCTCTTATTTAAACAATTGATCTTCATATTCAAATACTTGATTAACTGATGTAGATTCTTGACTTTCAATTTCTCACTGAGTATACTTACTAGTCAATCAGCATTCTCAGAAGCTTTGAATATGATGTTGAGATTGTTAATGTAGATCATCATATAGAGGTGACATCTGAATGTATAATATCAGAGTGCTGGATCATGAGTGCTGACTGTAAATTCAAGATCACTCAACAGAGCTGTTAAGTAATCATATCAGATCTTCATCACAGGGTTCAGGTTATATAGACTACTCTCAATCACACAGACAAGTGTTTTCAGTGAACCTGTCTCAAATTCAGTAAGTTGTCTTATATAGACCTTCTTAGTGAGGCACTTATGAAGATATGTCATTACTATATTCACTTAACAGAGTGTTCAACTGTGTAGTACTGCTATTGTAAAAAGAATATGATTAGCAGTATCAGTGATGACAGAAGTGTAGATTTCTTCTCTAGAATTCTTCTTAAGTCAGTTATCACAAATCACTCAATATGATTTTCTAAGAATATCATCAGAATCAGCATTTGAGTCTGCAGGCCTATCTTTCTCAAGAAACACTCAACAGCTCAGAGCAATTGATTCATTTCTCAGAATGTCAGATCTAGAGATTAAACTTCATGTATTGCATCTCTTCAGATCAGTAATCTTGCATTGCATGAACTTCTTTCAATAATCTTCTACTCTCTCTGACTGAGATGTGGCATTCTTGTAGAACTTCAGAAGGTTGCCTGTAATAAGACTTGAAGTGTAAGTAGTCAGTGATTTCACAGGTCACAATCATGTAGAATTCAGATCATCAATGTCAGAAGCATCTTCATCATCAATCAGATAAATATCAGGTTCTGATTCACTGGCATTATTAATGAGTGTCATAGATGTGACAATCAGTTTTTCAGTGATCAGAAACCTCACATCACTACTGACAATAATCTTATCAGATTCAGAATGTCATAGATGATATATCAATGTGTCACTGAATTCAATGATACAATAGAAATTGGCATGTGAAGAAAGCTTATCCGTGGGCTGCTGAGATTCATGCAAGTGAATAAAAACCTCTGCACTTAATCAGTGAAAATGCCTTACATTCAGTGAGGTATTTGTAAGTGCACATTAAGGAATCTTATGTGAACTTGAAATCACAGAGATCTCTGCAGTAGAGGATCAAAATTTCAAGTTGTAAAGAACTGTAGATGTGAGAGTATTATTGATTATTGCAATCACTGTCTCTAGAACATCTGTTCAGAACTTCTTAGAAAGATTATCTTTCAAAAGAGCAGCTCTAACTCATTTCATGATAGTGTGAATTTCACATTCAGAAACATCATTCTGATGTAATGAATGTGATGCTGTTGATTTTCATTTGATATCATATGAATTCATAACTGTGTGTATACATGTGAATTGAAAAACATCATCAATATCAGTCTGTAGAAAAGCAGAGACTGTATATCTGAGATTACTCATGAATCTGAGCCACAACTCAAAGTATTGAACAGCTTCATTCTTGAACTTTAAAAAATATACTCAATGATAGCAAGTTGCATCACAGATGATGAGCATTCAGTATTTAATTCTCTGATGAGACTCTAAGAAGTGATCAGAGAGGTCTTTCAATGTACATTCATCATCTGCAAGGTCAATATAAACCTTCTCAATAAGTCAGATAGATCTAGGCATCAGTGTTTTCAAATAATCTTGCATCATACCAGCCTTAACACATTTCTTACAAAAGAACTTAGTCTTAGAACTCTTAATTGTGACTTCAGTATGAGAATTCTTGATCATAGCAATTATAGCATCAGTGTGAATATGACTGAGATTGTAATGTCAATTCAAAAGAGTCTTTGATATCTTTGATATCTGTGTCTTGAGACCTGTATTCATGTCTGCAGAATTGACATTATTAACAGTAGTAACAGCAGTCACAGGAAGATCAACTTTTCAATCAAAATTATACTTATGAGATATCATCACAATATACTTGACTACTCTGTTCAGATGATTGAAATCCTCATTGAACTCTCATTTATCAACCTTATATATGTTGTTCTGAGCAGTCCGAACTGCATGGAAAATAACATCATTTGAGGCTCTGCAAATGAAAAAAGAGGGAATAGTGAAAGACAATGTAAATCAGAATCCCTGATCTTCAAGCTTCACAAATGAGAGCAGATTAACTGTAATATTAGAAATATAGTGAATATTCTGCAAGTTAACATCATCACTCTCAATCTTCAAGATGATAGTTTCAATCTTCTTAATAAACTCAGTTCTCTCAGTGACAGAATCAACAGAGATGTTATCATTAAAAGGTTTGATATTTGAGAAAGAATGAAGCTCATCTGTCATATTCAGGCTTGCACATGTGTTTAAATATCAAGATCTAGAGGATGATTTTCCAGTGACTGTGAAAGAGAAATAGAACTTAATCTTCATAATTACTGCATTTGCTGCTGATTGAGAACTTATCAAATCATTCTTCTTCTCTTTCTTCTTGTCATTCTTCTTGTCATCCTTCTTTCTCTTTTTATCAGAGTGTAAGATGAAACACCTGTTAACAGTATATTCATATCTTCTACAGTGAGTGCACTTTCATACAGATGTGCTTTTATTCTCATCTTTGTTCTTATCTTTATTCTTATTCTTTTTCACAGTCACAGAATCAGCCTGAGACTGCTTTTTTCACTTGATAATGATCTTCTTGAATGTACAATTAGTCAGTTGCTTCATCAAATCATCAATATCAATGTTGATAATAAGTCTCTGACCAGTGAAGAAAAACTCATTCAAACATGTCTTGACAAACAGTCTTTGATAATCTTGTAGATTGTTGAGAAAGAGATTATGATATATATTCTCAGTGCTCTGACAGAGCTTCTTGTGATGAGTAATAAGATAGTGAAAACATCTCTGAAAAGTAAGATAATCATTCTTCTTGACTTGTAATTTTGTCAATTTCTTGAAGACATTAACTCATTCCTCTGTCAGTGATATCATATATTTCACATTGATCTTATCTCACAGAGCTGCAGCATTGTCAGCTTTCAAGGTTTTAATAGTAGTTTAAACATTTTCAATAAGACTCAATAGCATATATCTATATAGAGACTTGAAATGAATTCTTCACTTCTCAGAGTTGATATAATGTGTAAAAGAGAATTCTCATTGAGTTCTTAATAGAATGTCAGTTTCATTAATAACTTTCATATCAGCTAACATATCAACACATCAGGCTTTATAATTAGAGCTATTAAATATGATCACTGATTTGATATCTAGTGCATATTTGACTTTCTTCTGATATTTCTGTAACTCATCTCTTGTAGTGTCTCTTTGTACAGAGACAGATGTAGTGAGATATTAAGTAGTTTCAGCTGCAGTCATCTGGTTCTGTAGCATCATCTGCATAAGATTTATAAGATTGCCTGCGATGCAATAGATAGATTGATTCAGATCATTATTAAAAGTCAGCATTCTGAGAGTGAGAAATGATGAAGAATTTGATGAGTTGAAATGAACAGATTCTGCAGATGAATATTGAAGTTGACTCTGCTTTTCTTTGTTCTGAAGTTTCTTCATTATCTCATCATCAAATTTCATACTCTGGCAAAAACTGATCTCAGTCTCATCTTGCAAGTCAGAAGCTTTCTTATAATGAGTGATTATTCTATCAATGAGTTGTCTAGTGAAGTATGTGATTCTGAGCCTTGAGCTGAACTCTGAAGTAACAGATGTATCACTCATATTGAGATGACTCTGCTTCTTCTAGATGTATAAAAAAAAAAAAATAAAAAGTGATATTCTTCACAATGAAGAACATGCTTTCTCAAAAAAAATAAAGTATATGAATTCACTGACTGACAGATTCAGGGAAAATGAAATATCTCTAATAAAGAGTAAGAGTCTTTTCAAAAAAGATGAACTATCTGTGTCAAAAATGTGTTAATACAATGTTCTAAAAAGAAAAATGTGCCATCCAGGCTATAACCTGTAGAATAGTTGAAGGTCGTATTGATAGATCTATCTACAGGAACATAATATAGTGGTGGGTCACGTGATCTAGTGGGATCGCTAACCGCAACGGCCGTAAGGGCCAACAGATTGCATGTTGGAAACCCAGTCAGCCTGCAGTGTGATACATCTAAATACCTAATATCCTGCTATGCCACTTTCGGGCTAGTGCGTTGGATTACTCGTGGCGCGTTAGGGCACCATGAACATTGATTGGTGGAAATGCACTTTGTCCCGTCCTGTCCTGTCCCGTCCTGTGTAGCCCTGTCCTGTCATGCCAGTTGTCCGAGATGATCTTTCCATCTTTACCAACACATCTAAAATTCATCATATCAACAGCTGCCCAATCAGCAATAGTGTGCTGTCTTACTCCAACTCATATAGCACAGTTTCTTTTGCTTTCTCTTCTTTTTCTTTTTTTATAGCACGAAAACCGATAATGCAACTACCGGGATCCCTTCTAACATCTCCCGTATTTGCATCGCCAAGGTTGACGTAGAAGAGAGATCACCATACTACCGCAAGCCAGAACCAACGTTCCTTTTCATTCTCAACAACAAACCTAGCCTAGACCTCGCTAATGGGTTGATGATTCGCAATGAAGGCAAGTAGGCGCGAGTGCAATGGTCGAGATTGGGGTGGATGGCACTATAAGCATATAAGGAGCCAAAATCCCCGCAAATCCTGAGGCAATGAAGAGACAATTCGTTGAATGTGAATATTGCGAGAAATCTTCGAATTGCGTATCTTGCCGCTGATTATATTTCTGCGTACCACTACCTATCACAATGCCTGAAGCAACGAATCTCAAGGGAAAGGTTCCTGCCACCTCATCTCCAACGCAGACGCCCCCGTTCACTCCGACCAACGAAAATCCTCTACATGGGATGGCATGGGGCCAAGCAGAAGAGTTTGCGCGGCTCTTTGTTGAAGCAGTGCGCATTGCCGCTGCGTCTGAGCCCAAGGAAGAAGCCTCAACATCTGAACCAAGCAAGCCGCCCACGTCCAAGTCTAAAGAGATTCCAATGGGGTCTATACCCGATTTCAAGCGGGTTGACCCATTTGCAGCTGGGATAAGGCAACGTCAAAGTTTAAGACGAGAGAAGCAGTGGAAGAGAAGGGCATTGACGAGCTTGATCAGTACGCCTTTGTCGTCAGAACTCAAACTGGTGAGTGGCTACCCGAATTCTATCATGTTTGCAAACTCATATTAACCAGCATAACAGACATGCCTTCCTTGAAGCAAAGGGTTACTGTTCGCGTCAACTCAGAATTCATTCGAAAAGCCCTGCGACATGTTATGGGCGCTGCAAATGCTATTGGCTTGCAAGAAGATAAGCCTATTGTATGTTTTGCTTTAGTGGCCCAGGCAGTAACTAACCAGGCGCAGATTGATCAGAAGCTCCTGTATAACTTTCTCCCTGACCTCAAGAGATATAAGGCGAGAGCAGCGGGTGCCCCCGAAGACAAGCTAAAACACATATCTCTGTTTGTCAACTTTATCACTCGCACATATCAGTCAGTGACCGAGCAACTCCTACCGCAATTAAAAGCTGGACAAATCGCTTGGGACTTGCTCTGGGCTGTCATGAAGCCTGGATGTATCCTATATGCCACATGCTTCGGGACAGAGAAGCCTCGATGTGTGGTGTTAAATGCTGTCGAACAGAAGGAAAAACACACAGGTGTTGAGTATTATGAACTCAGCTGCAGCTACATTGACTGTGACAGAAAATCTCTTGGAAAATCTGGTATTCATCTGATAATTGAAAAATTCTCAGGTCTGCAAGCCATCCATGCACTGCCAGTGTTTCCGCTTGAATACCACCCTCAGCACACAAGATTAAGGCAAAACCTTATCGAATGCGGGAAGAAATTCTGTCAATTAGTGGGAACACACATCCAGCATTGTCATGGAATGGCCTTTTCCATGCACAAAGGGGAGCCTATGCAGGTGAAGGTCAACAGCCGTATCGGCATCGATGCCGCATTCTTCTATGAAATGAACCCGAATTACTACCGCCCGCGCGTTGAGGCGTCCAGCTCGATGAGGTCTGATACGGATGGAAATATTTGGTTCAACTTGGACAAACTTGAGAACAAGCAGCGGATGAAAGAGAAAGAGAAATTCAAGAGTACTGATACTAACAACCCCAGCATGACTGATGATGATTATTTGATATGCTGTCCCTCGGTTCCTGGTTTTAGTTTCAAGAATAATGCTTTCTGTAAGCTCTTCTTCCCATCTTTAAAGCAACCACTGACCTGGTCCCAGATGAGTTTGCTGTAGATGACATCCACAATATCAAGTGGTCACCCAGTCTTTTTAAGAGCTTGACTATTCCAGACGACAAGAAGCATACTCTAATGACACTCACGAAGACCCGGTTGAGGATTGTCCCCTTTCTTTCATTTGATGACTTTGTCAAGGGCAAGGGACAGGGCTTGAATGTCCTTCTGTTGTAGGTCCTTTCCTCATAACCCTCAGTGTGTTACTTGTGCTAACTGAGTCAGTGGCCCCCCGGGTGTGGGCAAGACCTTGACTGCCGAGGCCATGTCTGAGCATTTTAAGCAACTACTTCACCCAGTAAGCCCTGTTTTCATTGGCAGCCTACAATTCCAGCTAATCTATTTAGATACCTGCTGCCCAGCTCATCATGAACCCTGATAAAGTCGAGGACAATCTCACTTGCATCTTTCAAATTGCTAAGTGGTTCAACACCCTTCTTCTACTGAATGAAGCTGATGTCTTCCTCGAACATCAGGCGTCTATCAATGCCCTCAAGGACGCTAATGTTACAATATTTCTTCGCAAGCTGGAGTATTTCCAGGGAATCTTTTTCCTCACAACAAACAGGGAAACAGAGTTTGATGAGGCAATTCTTAGCAGGATTCATTTGAAAATCAAATACGAAAAACTGAGCCAACATCAAAGAAAGGACATACGGGCGAGTTTTACCACCCGCGCACGTACGCATCAAGGACCAGCGGTTATGAGCGATCACGACTTGGATCGCCTCGCGATTTTGAACCTCAATGAGCGGGAGGTAAGTCTGTTGCAACCCTCTCAGTTCAGGTTCTTCTGCTAAGACAGCAAGCCAGATCAAAAACCTAATGTCCATTGCACATGCACTCGCAACAGATGATGGTAGTCATGTTAGCTATAAGTATATCAAGCAAGCCTTGATTTCAAACAAGGATTATTCTCAAGAGTTTACTCATGTCAGCAGCATGTATACCTGATGTGTATTTTAGGGTTTCATTTTTTTCCTTTGTTCTTTTATCCTTTCATATCCGCGCGGCACTCATACTCCGCACCGAAGTGACCTTGGTTCTGACGATAGTCTATATCCATGAATGGTGGATGTATTTCGGGTGGATAAGAACATCGCTCTCAGTAACCCTTCAGTCATTCTCCCCGCACCCGGACTTTGCTATGCAGCTGAGGAAGAATGCGTATCCCACTTTCTGTGAAGCTTGAAAAGCAAGAACACGAACAGCAAGAGGAGGAGGAAGCAGTTGGGAGGGAATGGAAGGGCTGGAGCCGGATAAATATTTCGCCGGTTGGATATTCTTCTTTCCCCGTATTTGCGCCTCAAACATGTCATGTCTTGGCCTAGAATTTGATAGGCTTCGTGGCCGTCGCTCGGGCATTTTTTTTCTTGTTTAGTAAGCTGTTCAGTCTGAAGGTTTTTCTGGCCGAAATATTTCCCGTGCCCACCAGCATTTACTGCGGACCACAGACCACAAGCCTCTGTGGCCTCTTAAAAGTCTCCACCACCCGGACTTCCAGCTGTTCAGCGGCGTCCCATTGACCTTTATGCCTGTACATCAATGCCAAGTTGGCCATGCTGATCAGTGTAGAAGGATGGTCGGCTCCGAGTTTCTTGTGAGTTTCCATCACTTGCACCTCCAGCTCTTCAGCAGCATCCCATCGGCCTTGATCCCTTAAACGGAAACACGGACACCCGTCTTGGCAACAGAAGACCAATGATGATATCGAGGTGGTTGACATGACCATCAAACCTGACACTCCTCCCCGGAGACCCAAAAAGTGGCCAAGGATGATGAGGCAGCAGTCTTCACCAGTGAAACATCGCTACGCATCAAGGGGCCGCGCCCAAGCTGATCAAGATACTCGATGTTGGCAATACCGGGGCCTCATTACTCGGGGACCAAAGGGTTTGAAGACTACTCTAAAGCGTGGCAGGTATGGTGGTATTAAAGCTGGATCTACGTGCACGGGAGCGTATTGAGTGTCATGCTTCCTCTTCCCCCTGGCTGTGCCCAGTTCACTGCGGTTACACCATCACCAGCGCTATCCACGCCGTAGCCTTACCCCCGATAGCAGCACGAGTGCCCGCCCCAGTTCCCTACAACACCTTGCTACATGAAAGACTCACACATCCAGGTTATGATGGCCTGGATTGAGCCTGGAGAAGAAAAGCCGCAAATACAAGATGTCTTGAAGCTGAAATGTGCAAACATATGCTTGAAACCCAAAAAGAACATTGAAAAGAAAATCTAAGAATGCTCAAATCAATTATGCCTCTGCTGCAACTCCCTTACATCTCTTTCCAACTCACGAAGCTGCATGTCTTGCTTCTGTACTTGAACCCATAACCGCGCAACCTCTTCTTTTAAATCATATATATCTGATGAACCTTCATCCCCCAGGGAAGGCTGTGGGTTGTTCAACTCCCGCTTTCACTTTAATGTGAGAGGCACTGGAAGTATGAGAAGCATGGCATCTGGCTTCAGTTCCGGACCCAAATTCGGCTTGCATTCAGGGGTTCAGCGTCCATCATCTCTGTGTAGACATTGGAGGTGTTCATTCAAATTTTCTTTCCTTGTAAAACCCTTTCCGGAGCTCCTGTTACACTGAGGAAAGGGACACATGAGTGGCTTCCCTGAAGTGTGCATTCTATGCACCTCTCGTTGATGAGATCCCATCTCTCTCCTTTATGTGAGTCCCTAAAAGATAAAATGCGCCGCTGACCAGGTGCAAGCTGCCTGTTATCAAGGTTTGCATGCTGTTGTTTAAATCTCCAGTTGTTCTAGCTTGATGTAAAGCTCCCTCAATTGTTCTCTTGCATGATACTGTTGCAGCGGCATCGAATTTTCTCCAAAATTCGGCATAACTTTCTTGAATATCAGCAGAAAAGCGGTTAGTCGAATTTTGATCTGAGAGTGAATTAGTCTACATATATACTGTTGAAAGATAGGTTATACCAATCCTTGTTCGGCCATCGCGAAATTCATCATACAAACTTAGAATAACATGTTGCACCCGGATATTGTTCTCAAACAATGACATAGCAATGCTACGCAGAAGAGCTATGCCATCTCGATCTGAAAAATGACTGAAAATAAGAATGCGCGCTGGGCTGGTGCTGCTAAGAATGGTTAGCATACATTGCACATGATGCAGATAAAACAAAATCACCTTGAGTGCTCTATGACTCGCTCAACAAACCACTCCGCTGCATAACGCACACTTAACTCAGTGTGTGCCCTGTCAAGAAACCACTGATGATTCCGATCACTAATTTGCTGATATCGGCCCGGCCAGGAGAACTGCTTAATACCACAATCAATCACATCATCCATGCTTCTCTGCTCTTTTAATGCCTTTGCAGACAACCAAGCGCGGGCCACGGCAACAGCCAAAGAGCAGTTGATTTTTTATGCTTTAGGCTGGAGAGCCGCTACATCAGTTGAAAGCATGCTGTCAAAATCAACAAACTTTACCATGACTTGTTTTTCAGTTGCTCTCTGTTGAAGGACTGTTGCAACTGCTGGTTCCTGAGTGCTAGAAAAGGCCAGACTTCCAGATTTGAATATTCCTTCCTTATGCCAAGCAATATCTTTAATGGTTGGCCCAAGTAATCTAACATGGTCCATTGAGATTGAGGTGATCACTGTAACAATCGGCACGGTGATAATATTGGTTGCATCAAATTCACCACCAAGATGAGTTTCATAGATTGCCACATCAACCCTCTCCTGAATGAAGACATGAAAAGAGAGAAGCGCTAGAAGCTGAAGGTAATGAGGAATGTCTAGACTGGGTGTCGCTTGATAGAGTAGCATATCCCAGACCTTGAAGAAATGAATTGCGAAAAGATCCTGCGATATTAGCTCATCATTAATGCGGATCCTTTCACATATATTTATCATATGCGGTGATGTGTATAGCTCAATTTTTCATGAGGACCTGAACTTCTTTCCATGCGCTTTGAGAATTGATGCGACAAATGCACAGGTACTACCTTTGCCTTTTGTTCCTGCAATGTGAATGATATTCAAATGGTTCAAATCTTCAACCTAAGTTTTCAATCAGCAAGGTGCATGAAGGTAGGATGTCTCAACCTACCGAGTGCCCCAGAAGGGCCAACCATGCTACCATATCATCTGAACCCTGCATCTCATTTAAGCTGCGCTTCGCGCGGGACCGCCTGCTATTTAAGCAGCGGATGGCTTTCTATACTAGCTTAGTACACAACACAATCAATTTCAAACAGATGTCTAACCTCATATCTCTCCATAATGGTGACCTTTGACGCCCATATTGGATAAATGGTTGGGTTTTATTCTTGGTGATGCAATCTGCCAAGAGAAATCAGGCTAAAAATGGCCCGTCTGGCTCTGCCGAGTCACGCGGGTATGACGCCCAATAGGCGGCTGGGATGATATGTCACATGGTATCTTACAGCTGTAGGAGCGGAAGAGGCGCCGATACTCAGTGCATGCATTGCAGATTGCCGATTTGCCCAATTATCTAGATGGCTCAAGAAATATGTTCCAAGTCCAGGTATGAAATGTTGTTCCTTCCGCCTCAAGCGGATCTCTCTTGCTAAGTTCAAGAACTTCCACCCCTCAAGTTGATTCCTCAGCGAAAAATTTATCTTGGAGGAGAGGAGGTAAATGACGGCTGAATAGAAGCCATCCGGTAGAAAGGTGTTGCTGTACTTTTCAATGAGATGCCTCGCGGTTTCCAGAGTCTTTTCAGCATCCATCCAGCACTCTTTGCCTTCAAAAAAATGGGTGAGGCTGATCACTGAGCGCATGTGACCCACTTCATTGGATACATCAAGGCTGTCCATCTTCTCATAAAACTCGATCAGCGGAGAAAGAAGAGACCAGGCCTCATCATGCCTACTTTGCATGGTATAGGCTTCCGCCAAAGGGAGAGCAAGACATCAAAAAGCTCTGGAATGTTGCTCGCCATCGGCCTCCAACTGTTGGACTTCTGCTCATACCAACTTTTCAGCACTCTCCGGATCTCTTAGCTCACAATACACATCCGCCAGGTGGTGCATTATATGATAACAGCTAGCGCCTCGCTGTGTCATTTCAAGACACTGTTTAAGAGGATCACATGCATCTTCGAACTGCCCTTCGTATCTTAATAACCTGCTGAGGGCCGTGGTTTTCAATCGAACCACTCTAAGCTCCAACCCTGATGACAGTGCTGATGATGACTCTAACCTGGGCTCCCAACTCCCAAGACACTGCTTGCCTATACCAAACTCCTCACACAAAATCGCGTTTTCTGCCCACGACAATTGTAAACAACCATAGCCACAATGAACCCTTATGTCCGCCGAGCCCTTAGGAATTTCTTCTAATATGTCCTGTATCACAATGTCGGATCCATCGTGGTCATCAATAGACCTCAAACAGACACTCTTCTGGAATGCTATGGCCATCCGTAGGTGATTCGGCAGATGACAATCCTGTAGTCTCAAAGTTGAAATTAAGCTGAGAGCATGAGATTTAGGGAGCAATCTACAAGCCGCTAGAGTGGCTTTCACAAAGGTACCATGGACTGATTCCGGAAGACTGGGACACCTGTCATCAATGTATCACCACATACATTTCATATAGGGCAATAAGAGTTTTCCAATGCGATGGTAGCTAAGGTTTTATCAGTCAAGCTCCATCAAAGGGCTGGGTAATAAACTCACAAGGCTTTCAAAATCTCATCCTGGGGATAGATGTGGGATACAAATATCAATCCAAGTCGGTCCATCTCATCAGCCTTGAAGGACTGTAAGATTTGATGCTGGGACTGATTGATAATTGAGTAAGCCAGTGAACCGTCAGGTGATTTGTTCAATGCAATACACCCATGCTGAACACAAAAGTCGATGGCCTGTTGAATGACAGATCAGCCTGATAACAGTTGAGCTAACTTCAAATTGAGATCACCATCTTGCAATGAGACTTCCTGTACATTTCCATCAACATTTCAACATTTCTGTGCTTCAAGCCCGCGAAAGAGGATATCCTGTTGAATTTGCGAGCAGCCAAGGGCATAAAGAAGGAATAACAAAGTTCTCACACCGCTTGCATCGCCATCACTGAGTACTGAATGTGACAGATTCTCCATACGGCATGGATGTTGGGACACTTGGCCACATCAGCGTTTTGGGTGAGTGCTTCTCTGCTCCAGCTGGCTGTGCTTCCGGGGTGGTTGGGTCACAATTACTGTCACAATATTGTTATTAACCCCGGCACTTGTGCTTCATCTGCATAAATCCCAGAATAGCTTACCTACTGCTGTCTCAAGCGGATGCACTTGCCCTTCTGAATGTTGGTTGAGAAACTGGAAGTCACTGTAAAAGCTGTGCAGATATTGAATCACCCTTTCCGCAGCAACATTAGCACTGATATAATTCAGATCATCCCCGGTCACATTCTCAGATGCGGCCTCTTCAATGCCCCTATCATTCAACAATTTTATACAGGCCTCACGCACAGGTCCTGTTTTCGGAAGATGATGGTCCCAGCTGCGAAAGTTAGAAAAATGACACTCTAGGTTGCAAAATGATTAAACCTACAGTGAATCCCCTGGTTCATCAGGAAGACAACAGATGCCGCCGTACCCTATTTCCTTTGCCAACAGGTTGATTCATTTGGATTTATTAATCCAACCAGGAAGTTCCTTGCGGATTTCATCTTTGTGCTGCAGGCTTAAGCTGGAATTTGAGATAATAGTAATAAGGTCCTCGCGGGTACCATTCCTCAGGAGTGCATGATTAAATCTTTCCAATAGCCCAGCGATTGAAATCAACAAAAGCCTCCATCTAACTGTATCACGCTGTCGATCTTGATGGGAGCGGTACACTTCCTCAAGATAGCAGTTTATCGACACCTCTGGAACATGTTCTGATTTCCATTTCCAAAAGTTTGCTGGCTTGATACAACAAGAGAGGAGAAACTCTCCGACGACCGCCTTAAGCTCAGGTTTTGAAGCCGTCCACAAGGTGTTAAAGGCCCTATGTTTTGTAATATCTCTTGCACCATACTCCTTCGGATTTCTCGCCGTCGTTGCAGTATGTTTGATAAGCCATTGTAATGAGGCTGGAAATGTTGGCAAGAGACTCTTGAGCTTCTCTATAAACTGGGAGAATGAGTTGCTGGGGTTTTTGCTTGTGAGCTAGCACTCACAGTCTCATCCTCAAAAAGAATACTGTCAATCCGCTCATCATCGCCTACCTCCTCACAGATTGTGATTACCTGCAATGCAAGCTGCTTGCTGAGTGAAGCACTCATTGCGAGTTGTCTGAACGATTTCAAGAACACAAAACATTTGAAAGAAGATGCACAGGACTTAGTCTAAATTCAATGGGGCAGGGGCTGCTAACCAGAGCAGCCCCAGCAGCCCCGAACCTTAGTGTTGTCTTGCCAAGGGGAGCCCATCCGAAAGTTAATTCAAACCATAATTTGGCCATCAGCAGCACTGGCTCAGCACGGACCTGCTTGCTAAAATTCAGCGCATGTCAATCAACAGCAATTCTGAGTGTGGATCCTTTTATTACTAACATTGGACCCCAGACCGGACTGCAGAGCTGTTCAGACTCTGCTTTATGTTACTCTCCTGGCTCCATCTCTCACAATATTTGTGCATGCAGGCCCAGACTCTATTTCATGCATTGCCTTAGCATCCCCGGGAGAAGAGTCAAAAGATCAAAGATTCTCTGTTTCTTATGATCTTCGAGATTTTTATTGCGGCAAAATACTGGCTCCTTGCACATTCTATTAGTATCAAGCGCCATGATATCTAGTCAAGAATAGAACTTAGCACTCCTTGGTTCATTCAATCATCACTGCACAAGGGAGAAAGAAATATAAGAGATGCCTCACCACCAACTCATTCTCAATAACCCTCTCATCCTCACTCCTTATCTGGCCTTTCCTGGCCCACGGATCACTGTTCTTTGAACTTTGTGAAATGATTAGAGATTTCTCTGCAGCCTCATCCCACAACAGCCTCACTCCTTGCATGATGCTCGTGGTGCCTCAACATCTGCCTGCCGACAACACATCCATGACTTCAAGCTTTGAGCCTAAATTTCAATTGGCTATTATCATTGAAGTATCTTTCGAGTTCACTGAGACTGCATCAGAAGAGCCATGTGACCCATCCTATTCTTGCTCTGTCTTGTTGAACAATGCCAATTGGTTTGAAGATGGTAAAAACTGGTATTACCATGTACTTCATATTCTTTTGGCTAATTACCTGCAGCATCGGAGGCTATATGCTTACCTTCGCCGAAAATTTGAGATCCTGGTTATGGCGACTTTACTTTGGTCCGAGTGAGGTATTCTATGATGGCATTGTCGTGCTTCCAGGGAGGGATGTGGTGTAGCTTCCTGAGAGAATTGGGTAGATTTTACTGACAACATACATTCTTTCAATTTCTTTTGTCATTTGGCTAGCAGCTGCACACATACATCTTATTTTCTTGCTTTCTTTGTATCATCGGGTTTCACATTGGAAATATATAAGGTCAACAACATCCCATTGTTTCTGTAGCTTTTCAAGAACATTCTGCTTCAGTTTTCTGGTCTTTCAAATTGAACCATATCCTCAATAGCTTACAACCTTCACCTTTCCCAAGTCCGCTGCGGCCCAGTTCACAGCCATGACTGATACTTCTCATGACTCGGACGAACCGCGCAGTCACCCAAAGAATAACAGCCAGGCTCACGAGAATAGCCCGCAGTCTAATCACTCAGGGGCTGACTCCACTAGCTTGGACAGCACTTCCAGGGATGGAGCCCACCCACAGGCAAAGCCCAGCACTCAAGGTAATGGCTGCGTCTCTTTGGATCCACGATCCTAACATGTACTAGATACAAATATAATTATTGAGGGAGAAAATGCTGTTGATAAACCAAGTTGTGGAGATAGAGTGAGGGTAGCATACACTGAATATCTTCATGATGATACCAAGGAGCGTCACAAGGGTAAGATGTAAGGCAGACCCTCTGTCTTCAATTCCCACCAACGTGCTCATCATCCTACAGGATCGACAGTACCGCGGATAGAGGGGACTTCAAGTTGCCTCTGGGGAGAAAAGAATGATTATCATAGGCAAGAGACATTTAGCTATGGAATCGCTTCAGTCACGCTGATCTCCACCATCTTGTAGGTTTTGAGAAGGCTGTATTGGATATGACCATAGGAGAAGAGTGTACCATAATTATTCCTCCGTACATCTCACATCTGCTCTATGTCTTGCTAAACTAACAGATACAGGGAGTATGCATATGGCGATCGGTATGTCTAACTCACTGGAAGGAATCATTCTAGCACTAACATAACCTGAAAAAGTGGATTTCCGGGCTTGATCCCACCTGGAGCAACTCTTATTTTGTAAGTAAGTTTGTGTTTGATCTTGATATGCTCTAATGCTACTGCAGTGATATCCACCTCAAGGAGATTCATAAAACTTAGGCTCTTGAGCTAGTGCAATTTGTTCTTTTTTGGCTGGCTTTTTCATAATAGTAGCTTTTGCGTATTGGGCTCTCTTTCAGGGATGAGAGGTCCAGCCTCTGTGGTGAATTTACTTTCATACTGCGAAGTTCAGAATTGCTCATGGTATTTAGATGTCCAATCGCACTTTTATACATCCACTTACCCCATGTTTTCTTGATGCTTGGCAAAATTATCCCCACAGTGCTCCGGTTCGGCTGGTGTGGGGCCTGCGGCCCGAACAGCCAATCACATGAGTCTGTCATCTGTCAACTCCAGCAAACTTTGTCTTGAAAAAAGAAAACCAACTCCGGGTAAATTGTATTGGAGGCAATATGATCAACAACACTACAAGATACTATCATCAGAATGCTACCATCAGCCACGGAGCTCCGCTACTTTATTGCAAAACAGCTTTGATAGTGTGCTGCCCAGATTTCCATTCACAGACTCTGGTGAGTGCGTGATGGCTGCATATAAAGATGAATACTGCTCCATGGCTGCCTTGTGGCATCAGTATTGTTTTACAGGCAGGATCATTTCTTATGGCTTCCATTCTTTGCTCAGTATTTGATTGCCTGTTGCCCTCTAGTCATCACCGCAGAACGAAATCTATTGGTAATGGACTGGTTCAACCCCTTCAAAACGACTTCCTATGGCCCATCATTTATGACCGCGGAGCGGAACGAAAGGATGATGGCGTGATTCAAACACCCTACCAGAGCATATTACCTGCGCAATGAATGGCCCCAATAGTGTCCAGAAAGCCAGATGTTAGAGGGCGGTGAATTTGCCTGACACCTGCCATGATAATACTCTTGCTAACTCTCAGGTAGGTATCATCTTTCTGACGAAGTTACAATGGTTGAAAGCTATGAGGGAGTCATGTATGGTGATTGGACTGGAGGGAAATATGTTATCATTGGCCATGCTTGCACTACATTTTCGCGAACACCTGTCCCATTCTATTGCAGTGTGGAGGACTATGAAAATATGCCAAATGCTATTCCTGCTGTGAATTGAGTTGACAATTGGGATCAGGTGGTGAAAAAGTATGGTAGGAGAAAATAGCGGCATCTGGAGAAAATCTTTATAGGAAGTGTATATGTGTGATTACTCACTTAGTTGTTTCATACATTTTTACTTCAATAACAAAGTCATACCCTCATCTGTCGTCTTTTCTCCCGCAGTTTTACATGGCCAGAAGATCTTCATTAGTCAGCAACAAGGGAACCTTGATTGGTGTAAATCTCCACATGAATGAGCTGAACCTGGGCAGCAGGGCAGAGCTGCTCCAAACGGGCCGAAAACTAAAAGAAAAAATACAAGTCAATCAAACTTTGTTCCTTGGATAGATCTTAATTTCTCAGCTAGACTCCGGATGAGCAGCCTTGCTGCATGAAGAACAGCCATGGATAATGTATATAGAATGAATCCCGAGGCTGCTCTTGAAGAAGTAGAGGAATGGGTCAAAAATACCTGCAAGAAGTGTCGGTATCCTGAATCAAGATTGCAGCTACCACCTACTGTATGCAAGCAAAAGAGCAAAGACGAACTTCATACCAAGACTACCAATCAAGCATTGGAGAAGCAAGAACAAAGGGCTATGGAAGAAAATTGAAAGTGAAAGAATGTTCAAAGGAAACTGAACTGGATACAGACAGATGTGAGAATGCAGAAGCAGGTCCTAGAAGATGAGATTTTTTGCTGCGAATGCAAGAGTGTGCAGCAGGCATATGAAGATGGATTGGGTTCTGTTTGTAACACCTGCAAGCACAGTCAGCGACAGTGTCTAGAGTGCATTAGTGGTTTTGCTGTTCCCTAGCCAAATCTCTAGCAGCATAAAATCTTTGATTTTTTTTCCCACTCAGGCAAATGGTGGGACCGTAAGCCGAGCTGAGAAGAAGGATTACCCGGCTCACATGCTCTGATCACCCCCTTGAAAGTTGCAAGAAATATCACAGCCTTAGCAATGCCTGAGAAGTGTTTATGCGGAAGGAAGAGAATGCGGTCTAGACCGCGGAACATGAAGTTGCGTAGGGCTAGTTGGCCAAAATTGCAAGTGCTGTCAGATTAAATGAGTAGTGGCTGCAGCCATGCATATCGATCGTGCGGAAGTCTCGTATCAGCTTAGAGCTAGGTGAATGGATATAAATATGAGAGCCTGATACTCACAAATTTGAAACTGTCTCCATACCACAACCAGGCACATAGATCAGACAACTGTGATTCCCATCTGTACATCCCTATCTCTTTGCATTCATGGAGCATATCAAGAATGATTATTGAATCTGTTTTTGAATACTTTTGTAAGTCTTTCTTGCTTTGAGCATAATATCCTGTTGATGCTGACCATGACTGTCAAGCCTCTATTGGTATGTCCTGCTTGGAGTCAACCTGTGGGCATATCACACTTCCAAGCCTCTCTTCCCAACAGCAGATTCCAAATTGACACCAAATGATGTTACAGTGATTATACCTACCCTTGATGGCTGTGAAAGAGAAGCACTCGAGTTGATTCTCACAAACAACCCATGCGAGGTCATTCTGATAACTGTGGAGGAGAACCGGAGACAGGTGGAGGAAATAGTTGATGGCATTGTCAACACTATGCAACCACGGCCTGAAGTTTGTGTGAAAGCTGTGAAGACACCAAACAAAAGGAACCAGATGGTGACTGGAATTCGAGCAGCAAAAAGCAAGATCATTGTCTTTGCTGACAATGATGTTTTCTGGTCCCAGCAGCTTCTCCGATGGATCATCGAGCCATTTAAGAATAACAGCAGAATGGGGGGAGTTGCCACATGCCAATGACTACATCGTCATCCGGTGCAAAATTTGTCACAGCGGCTTTGGTGTTTCCTCGGAGACTTATATCTTTGAAGGAGGAATTTTGACTGTGCCACCATGGTAAAAATAGATGGAGGGGTGCCGTGTCTTTCAGAGAGAACAGTTGCCTATCATACCGAGATTGTGCAGAACCCGAGCTTCATTGAAGAATTTCTTGCTGAGAAGTGGTGTGGGAGGAGCCTGTCCTGCGACGATGATAACTTCTTGACCCGGTGGCTTGACTGCAACAGTTTTTGAACTTATTTTCAGAATCATCCAGAGGTCTTAGTTCTCATGACTCTGGAGGAGAACCTGAACTTTCTAAAGCAGTGTTGTCACTGGGCCAGGAGTAACTGGAGAAGCAACCTGCGTAGTCTATTTGTGAAGCGATATATATGGTGGTTAGTTTCTATTTTCTCTTCATTCTCTGGGTTGGATGTTCTGACCTGCTATTCGAATTCTTAGGCAGCACCCATACAGCACCTATGCAGTTTTCCTAACAACACTTTCACCGCCTGCATTGATAGTTGATGGGGCGCTGGTATGGCTCTGCCACAAGGCAACCCAAAACTTTCCCTTTCACAGCTCACCATTGCACTTACTTGTCACTTGGATGTTCTTCAGCAAAATTGTCAAGTTCTTGGGCTATTTTCAAGAGCATTCTTCGGATATTTTCCTCCTACCTGCTTCGATCCTCTTTGAATACCTGCATGGTGCTATTAAGATATACACTGCATGCACTCTCCATGTGATATGTTGCCCTGTCTCCTCCGATTTCTCTTCGTTTCGCTTACTTTTTGAACAAGACAGCATGGGGCAACCGTGACCTTGAAGGGAAAAAGGATAAATAATCTGAAGCCGCCATCAACAGTGTCTGTTCTTGAACTACCAGCCTCTCTTCAACTCAATTCCAACCCCCCCTCTGAGCAACAACTGAAGGAGGATGTAGCTTCCCTGTGCTGTCATGTTACAGAAGCAGAAAGGAAATGCATTGAGATTCAATATGACTTGCCAAATAGCATTGAGAAGTGCACTGATGAACAGATATCTTCCGCACGCGATAAGCTCCAAAACTTGCCTGATGAGCAGCTGAGGTCAGCTCTCCAACGGATATGGTTTCAAGAAATCACCCCATATTGTGACTGTTTAAGAAAAAGTGAGAAGCACTTCAAGCAGCTAACATCTTTTGTTGATGAGGTCTCGGGGGCCTCAACTCCTTTGATAGAAAGCACAAGTGACTCTACAGAAAGGCAAGGTTCGATGGAGATTCTTGGCGATCTTTCTAGATATGCATACAGGGTGGCACATGCTAGATGTTCAACCAAACCTGAAATCAACACCTGGAGGGCTCGTTCTGAGCATTGGTATAAGAGGATAGCAGAAGAATGTCCCGGAACAGGCCGCCTACAACATCATCTAAGTATTTTCAAAAGAGATGATGGCCTCTGCAGATTTTTTCTCCTCATCAAGTCCTTGCTTTCTGTCCAGCCTTTCCCAAGTGCTACAGCTTCCCTGCAACTTTTCTTCGCGGAAAACCAATCTTGTGAAGATGAAGCTACCATGACTATGTTTGTGAGAATCCATCGCTATCTCTTTACCGGTGATCTTGAGAACCTTGAAAAGAATGAAAGCCAGTTTATGTCGCGTCTGGGGACAGATATTGCGGGGCTTATGAGATTAAACAGTGTTCATATCACACTGGGTAACATCGCGTCAGTGATTGGCTATGGATATTCAACAAAGAGTGAATTCAAGACCTTTACTGAACTTCCTTGGACTGAAGACACCACATCTCATTATCAGGTGGACCTGGCTATATCGCTGATGTTCTGTACCAGCTCCATACTTCTTGTACATGCAGTCGACAAAGGCACACTAGCCTGCGGACACTCATTGCTGGCATTTCTCTTCAGCCTCGCGCAAGTTCCAGAAGCAATGAAATATGTTGCTAAGCAAATCCCTTGAGAGCATGTTGTAATGTTTCTGAATAGCATTGACATTGAACCTGAAATTGATAGATTCCCTACCTTTTCCCCTATGACTTCAGGAACAAAATCCTACTTGCCTGAGGATCTTCTCATGCATGGATATGCCTGGAGTGAACACTATTATTATCCTGCCGACTTTTGAGTTGATAGACATGAGGCCTGTCAAAGAACGCTTGCTGTGCTGCGAGCTACGCATTGCTTCTGGTTAGCCCGCCAATTGGTACATGTAGGTATTGCCCCTTGCTTAATTTATGTGTGGAAGTTACTAACAAACTTGCTAGATGAATTGGATTTTCTATGAGAGGAGAACTCAAGAGTTTTCTACAGCACGACCTCAACCTGTTCGCCCTTGTTTTCCTCGTTTTCATTCAAGACTATAGCGTATGCTATCATTCTTTACTGAATCGTGCGAGGTGGAGGTGAAGTCATAGATATTGTATGAACAAAGGACATAATGCTTATGTTTAATAGCCGCTGATACCATAGTAAACATTGAACACTTTGTCAAAAAGCCAAGTTCTGTTAAAGAAAGACGAGATGGCTTCTCAGATACAAATGTCAAATCTCTGACAAGCCCCGACCCGAAGCCAGACATGATTACAAGTGTGGTTGATATTGAACCCAGTGGCCAGCTCCTCTCCTACCTCGCTGTACCATCCGAATACTCAATGGACAATATGCACCCTACACCTGCAACCAGCTCATGGGAATTTCAACCACAGCCCCAGCCACTAATGACCTATGGGGCTATGGAATGAGAGGCCCTTCTTTCTTTAACACCAGCATCGTCCGAATCGGGTGATATCAAGCTCCCCCATAACCAGCTTCTTAACACAGACATGCATGGCATCGAAACACAGCCACAGTGTGAATACCCTCCAAACGCTGCTACCGGTCTACAGTTTCGTCACAACCTATTTAACCACCATGCCTTTGGGCCCCAAAGTTCGCCGCCCATCTCCACTCACTTTGGCAGTGGATGGTGAGTTGTCTGTCAGCAAACCTCACTCCGCCTCATCGAAGTACAACAGACCTGATGCTAGGCCTCGGAAGTTTGGTTCTGATATGCTTGAGAGTAATGAACGCTGGCAAAAGATCATGTTTGCGAGGGAGTGGGTTATGCAGGAGTAACATTTTGCTGGTTTTATATTACAGAATGGCTTTTGGGATGCTTTTCAGTTGCCGACAGTTTTTCCGGCCGAAACCATTTCCACCTCTGACTTAATTGGCCCTGGTGTCCCTGACATTCCACCCACATGAATCACGAACTATCCCCATGATGATGTGGCCCTCCCTAGTCCGCTCTGTGTCCCTACTCCTTTCCACATTATTAGCTTTCTTCATGGCTGTCCCTAGTCTAATTGATTGATTGATTGATTCATAGACTGTCCCAGCCGCCCTTTTGTGGAAGAGGGAGAAGGGTTTGGTTTATTTTGTTTATTTTTTGTATTTAGAGTACAATGATTGAGCTGGCAATCACGTGTGGACATGCCTTCTTGGAGGATAACGTTGTTGTGTTGTAATCTAACTACGCGAGTGACACTAAATAGGTTGGGGTGGCACGTGACTAGGGTAGGTGTAGTAATCTGTTGGGGGTCCCGCGGTTGGTCGGCCCTTCTACCAGCAGGCGCTGGTGGTGATCGAGCTCTTTTGCCCCAGTAGTCTACAGGTTATGAGACCGTTAAGCGTGAGCCCCGCTGTGGTCAACATGCATGGGTTTGATCCCAGAATGGACTTAAAAATTCCTAACAAATACTCTGAACATTTTAACAGTGTCAAGAGACATCTCAGAAGTATGTCCTAGAAGTCCTGTGAGCTCTAGAACTGACTGAGTTCATTATTAAAAAGAAGCCATTGTGGGGAGATCACTGAAGGAAGCCACTGAGAAGAAGTACTGTACTCTGTGATAGCTGGTCTGAGAGGGGGTGTTGAGAGTCCCGCAGTTGGTCGGCCCTTCTACCAGCAGGCGCTGGTGGTGATTGAGCTCTTTTGCCCCAGTAGCCTACATAATCACTAGACTGACCGTGTGACCGTGTCTGGGACCAGGACTAGATTTTTTGATAGTCTTATTACCAATTCAACTGATCTCATTACATGGTTTTAACATTAGATAGTAGTTTCATACTGTCTCAGTGAGACTTACTGTCTACACTTGTCACATTTTTCAAATAAGATCATGATTTTCACTTCTCAATTTAAATTATTTTTATTGCTTTAAATGACTTTAAATCTCATTTAAGTGTTATTAAAAAGCATTACTTTTTAAAAAATTAAAAATAGTCTAAAAAAAACCTTAAAATATCTAAAAATAGTAACTTTATATCAAGAATGAGATTAAATGAAATTAAATAAAATCACTTTCTCATTTTTTTCAAGTTATGATTTCATTTTAAGATCTGATATATAGTCACTTTACATGTTTTTTTGATAGCCAGTCCCAGCAGGATTCATGTCAAGAAATGTATGAGATCAGATCAAATGAGATCAAATGTGAAATTCATGATTTCAGCAGTCAGTTTAGTAATCACCAACACTCTCTCTTGCTACATCGTGGTCTATAAGCCGTCACCCGGGGCCTTTCTCATTCTCAAATCTTTCAAAAATGCAATAATAATTAATTACATCAATCGGACTCTGATTTCCTCATTAGAAAAGGCGTCTGTACAGTAATAATCATAAAAATCAAGAAATACATGCAAAATTCATTGATCCGCTGTATCATCATTATCATTCAATCATTTCTTCTTCTCAATTTCCTGAATGTCAACTCTTTTGATAAAATCTTCAAATGCAGGCTTCATCAGTACAGAGAATATAATATCTAATCTTGATATAATACAATCTTCACATTAAGAATTCCCTCTTTGTTAGATCAATTGCTCTCTTATTGTTAACTTATAGATGTAAGCATATTTTCACTTTTTCATCATTTATCAATTCAGTATCATATAATATATTATTCAATTAGATTATCTTACAAGCTGTCTTACTAGCTGTAATATACTCAGCTTTCATAATTGATTTGATAATAGATGTCTGTCTCTACAATTATCATGAGATCAGTGACTCATTAATAGACTGACTGCTGAGATCATGAATTTCATATTTAATTTCATTTAATCTGATCTCATACATTTCTTGACATGAATTCTGCTGAGACTGACTATCAAAAAAACATGTAAAGTGACTATATATCAGATCTTAAAATGAAATCATGACTTGAAAAAAATAAGAAAGTGATCTCATTTAATTTCATTTAGTCTCATTCTTAGCATAAAGTTACTATTTTTAGACATTTTAAGGTTTTTTTTAGACTATTTTTAATTTTTTAAAAAGTAACACTTTTTGATAATGCTTAAATAAGATTGAAAGTCATTTAAAGCAATAAAAATAATTTAAATTGAGAAGTGGAAATTATGATCTCATTTGAAAAATGTGATAAGAGTAGACAGTAAGTCTCACTGAGACAGTATGAGACTACTATCTAATGTTAAAACTGTGTAATGAGATCAGTTAAATTGATAATAAGACTATCAAAAAATCTGGTTCTGATCTCAGACACAGTCACACAGTCAGTCTACTCATTAATCAATATAACATAGCTGATAGTCAATTTGTATTGAGAATTCACTCTCACTCAGTCTGAATCACAGTATGTCACAGAACTCAGGTCATCTTCTATCTTCTTCTTATACAATATGCCATGATTTTTTGTCTTCTTGATATAACATAGAACATGCTTCAACACTGTCTAACATGCCTTGTGCAGACACAAGTTAAAACATGAGAGATAGTTGACTGTGAATATTAGATCTGATCAGCTGCTTAAGATCAAATACTGCAATGATCTCAATTCTTGATAATATCTCATAGCTGTAAAGTTATCATTCAATCTCTCTCTCTCATTAGATGAGAATTTTAGTCATATACTGACTGTCATTGAGATGCCAGCTGAATTTATCTTATTCATGTCAAAATCTTCAAGAATCTTCTCAATATAACAGCTCTGTGTAATCACTAGATCATCATTCCTCTAGTATTTAATCTTCATCTCAAGATATGACTTAATCTCTTCAATATTCTTTGTCTCAAATCTCTTTGCAATCTTTCTTAATACTCAGTTTAATTGCTGTTCTTGAAGTCTCATCATCTGATAATCATTAATATGCAATATTAGATAGATCTTGTAAACAGAGTGATATAGAAATTCATCATTATAAGATGATATCTTGAATTTCAATGTAGTCAGATACTTCATTACAAGAAAATATTATACTCTTGCAGCTTGCTTCATTTCATATAAACTCTGACAGAGTAATTTCATCAAGCTCTCTCTGTCATGCTTAACATCTGTGAGCAGTTGCATATAGATCATCTCATTCTGTGATAGTATATTATTCAAAAATGTGAATACATAGTCAATTAATTTAATCTTTCATTCTTTGACAGTTAATATAGTGAATAGACTGTGTGATATAGACTCTGATATCACTGCAGTATACAATCTTGTATAATAGATACTCTGCTGTTGTAAGAACTCTCTAATCACTCAGCAAGCTCTAAAGTGAATGATTTCTTTCTTATTATTGAATTTTCAATCATATACTCATTTATCTGTAAGAATATTCATTTTCAGAGTCTTCTTAATAATAATATATATCTTCTTCTATTCAAATATCTTAATCTTCTTTTTCATTATCTCATATCAATAGTTTCAGTCTGAGCTTCTCTTGACTTTCATCAGTGTAGTTAATCAATCTGTCAGAACACTTAAAACAGAATTATTCTCATCAACAGAGTCTTCAGACTCTTCATTTATGACAAGCTGTGTCTTATTATCTAGAAGATAGATTGAATCAATTACACTCTCTAAGTTCTTATTGACAATCATCTTCAAAACATCTGGCTTTTTCTTTGTAAGTCTTCTTAGAAGGCAGTGTTATTATCTCTCTCTAACATTCAGAATGTTCAATTCATTAGACAATTCATTGAATTTTCTCACTGTATTTACAGGTGTGTTTGTACTCATGTCAAGAGCTTTATCAAATATGATATCTTATGCAATCTTAAGATAATATGCAACAGAATCTCATACATGATATTGATGTAATTCTTAATATTCAACTAGCTATCATTTCTTATCATCAGTTCTATCTGTGAGCTTATTCAACACTTTCAAATCCTTCTTCTAGACCTTGCACTCTTATCTCTGTATTCAATGAACAGAAGATTGCATCTCAGTTCAAGCTTCAAAAGATGTAAGTGATGTTTCTTTCTTATATTCAAATATCTTCATTGATGTTAAGAATGTGTTAATTATTATAATCATGACTTGTATTACTTCACTTCAAAGTTCTCTTTCTAATTCACTATTAAATAGTAGGCTTTATGTCTTTTCTGCAACTATTCAATTCATGTGTTTCACTAAGTTATTCAATTGTGATGTGTCAGATGTAGTCATTTCATATGCTATTTCTTTGCTCTGATAGTAGATCTTAAGTTCTTGACTTTTGAACTCTTCTTCATTATTTCAGTGTAGAGTTTCAACTCAACATTGTGTAGTTATCTCAATACTTATGATGAAATTCATTAATCTTGCAGTAGATTCTCTCTTTCTCATTATAAGAATTACTCATCTATAACAGATTGCATTGTCTGTTATACTCAATCAGTAGCTTACACTCTCTCTAGTGAGAGTGTCATTTCTGTTAAAAAGTGTTTTTTCACTCTCTGTCAGATCAATGAAGAATCTCATTATCAGCTTAACAGCTCATGTCATAGATGTGAAGATTGAACATGTTATTTTTACTTAGACACAGATCTTATAAAACAGTAAAGCTTGTTAATCTATAATTCTCATTCTCAGATGTGAATTCACTATCATTTTTATAATATTCACAGAATTCAGATACTCTAGCTTTTAATGTCATTGCATTATTATAAGTTTTATAATCTTTGTATCATTCTTGACAGATAGTGTCAATATTGTATCATTATTCTTTATTCACAGTGTATTCACAGGTTCAAAATCATCATTGAGTATAGTAAATTGAATCAAGTCTCTGTATGTGACTGGCTTTTCTATCTCATAGATATCTCTGTTATTCAATCTTACAGTAAACAAGAACATT